GAAAGTCATGATTTATTTTTCTATGCTTTTCTATGCAAAAATGTGTCATGACTCACTTAAGTAATAGTGGGTGCAACTCAGTAATAAGTTGCATCCTTTTGAAATATTAAAATGGACATATTTAGCAGTTTTATACACTTATGAAACAACCACCATTGGCAAGATATAGAACATTTTCATCACTTATAAAAGATTTCTACCTGGGCCAGCAGGTGACATGGTTATGATGCCGAACTCCCATATGGCCAACTACATTTTTAAACCTGGACCTGGCAGTTGCAAATCACACCCTGTGTGTGTGTGTTTGTGTGTGTGTGTGTGTGTGTGTGTGTGTGTGTATGCTCAAGATCCCAGGAGAATGGAGAAGAAGGGATTATGGTGTGGCTATGCCCCTGAGGGTTGACTTTTCAATTTTCCTGTCACTTGCTTTCTCTGTCTCTCTTCAACAAGCACACATACCCTATGGCAAAAAATAACGAAAAAATAATTCTTGCCTAGTTTTTGAATTGAATTTTTAAAATTATTTGATACTACCTTTTGTTTACATTTGTTTTTGATGCACTTATCATTCCTTAGGTCAGTACGGATAAGATCCATCATTTCCAGTTTTGTTTACCTTTTCCAAATTTACTAAAATTAAAATATTTGGATATAGTGTTTTATTGGAATCTCAGTAGTACCGACTCATACTATCAATTCTAGAATGATGTTTTGAATTAATTAATTCATAAAAATACTACTTCTTAGAGTCTCCTCACCTTTTTTTTCATTATAAGATATTACAAGGATTACTTAACATTTTCTAAAATATTTGAAATATGGGTCTTTTTGAAAATTTTTAGGGATAAAATTAATTTTTTTTTAGAATTATTTAATTTTATTCATCATCATTATTATTTTTTCAATTCTACCACAGAGCAGCAGAAAGAGAGAGATAGACAAAGCAAGAAAGCAAGCTGCCAAGTCCAGGATTTGAACAGTAGCCAGCTATGTGGGAGTCCAGCACCTTAACCACTATGCCACCTGCCAGCCCCAAAATTTAAAAAATTAATCACTAATTTTATGTGTTGTGGTTTATTCCTTTGGCTTTGGTTCTGCTTGCATAAATTATATTTACAGACCTATGTTTATTATTTAATGAAAAGCATTTATCCTTAGCATTTAAGAGACATTAACTGAAATTTAACTTTAGTATAGTAATCTTTACTAGTATTATTCAACATTACTTTGGAATTATTACCACAGTGTATAATGGAAAGTCAGAAAATATGCAAAAAAGTTAGTAAATTGTTATTGCTTAACATTGTACTAGGTACCATATTTTACTGATTAATAGATGTTATTGATTTTAAGATACATCCTTCATGTAGTAATGGCTGGGGCTAAAAAGAAGCTAATAAATGTTTTTTTGGAGAGATTTTCGCTTTAGGGCGCGTGTGCTCGCTAGACAGAGACATAGAGACAGAAAGCGAGAAATCACCCCCCAGGGAGGATGGTCATGCCACAGTCCCTTCTCCTCCATTCTCCTCTCAGGATCTTGGGCACGCACGCACACACGCCCGGCGTGAGTTTTAAGCCACCGGGTCCGGGACATGAACCGCAGTCGACTACGTGGGAGTTCAGCGACATAGCCATTACGCTAACTGCTGGTTCCCATAAATGGTTTTTGATATTGATTTTCTGAGGCTTTTTTCCAAAGAATTTTGAGATGTACATATTTCTTAGAACTGAGGAAATACTATATTTGAAAAAAAATTTACAAATTTAAAATGTAAAAGAGTAGAAATAGAACTTTATAACAAAATGAGATTAGGAAATATAATGCACTTGAAGATGAATGATTACAGAAGAATACTTTGGGAACCATCCTGTTCTGCTCCATTCCTTAAAAGTTTGTGAGACACTTAGTTATTTAGGTTCAAAGCCATTTTCTTCTTGCTAAGCACATGATTTGGTTGTTAAGAACACAGACCCAAAATAGTTCCACTAGAGGTAGGGCTGAGAACTTTGTTACTGACAGGATACACATGAAGCACTAAGTCAGAATTTCGATCAGAACAGAGTTTGTAGGAGGATGAGGCCTCTAAGGCATCTTGAGAAATCTTAACCGAAGAAGCTAGTGAGTGGTGGTGTGGTTAAGGTGCTGAACACATCCACATGGCCAACCATGGTTCAAGTCCCAGACCTGGTGACTTGCTTTCTCACCTCTCTCTCTCTGTCTCTGTTGCTATCTCTGGACAAATTTTTTAAAAAATGAATGAATAAATAAAGTTAAATAATTCTTTAAAAAAAGAAGCAACAGCATGACTCTTTTTGTAAAATTTTATTTATTCATTTACTTATTTTATTTTGAGCAGAGAGACACAGAGAGGGAGAGAAAGTGTGAAAGCAAGCCACCAGGTTCAGGACTTGAACCAGGATTGGCCATGTGGGAATGTCCAGCACCCCAACCATGATGCCACCTGCTGGTCCCCGCAGCATGACTCTTTATTGCAGTAGTCCAGCAAGAAAATGACCCAGTATCTTTGGATATTTGCTCTGGTAATTCTCTCTTAGGCAGGTTGATTCACCCACTATTTTATGTTTTGTCTGTTTTATAGTTCCCACGTACTAGTGGCTTAGTTTATGCATAATTCTGGCTCACCTAATGTCCCTTCAGCACATGGATCCTATGTCTCTACCTGCCTCAAAACTACTTCTCTCATTGCTTACTGGCTTAGTTTTGTAGGATTCCCCAGTTCAGGTCTGTGATACAAAATTTTACTGGTTACATGTATCTTTAATTTGAATCTCCTTCATAAACAATTGGCTGATCTTTGGGTAGATTTTCAATCTTGATCCCTTAAACTGTCTTAGGATAGAAACATTGCCTACCATGAAACTTGGTAACAACCCTGTGTCCTATAAATGGGGCTCTCTCTACTTCTCATTAGACCTTACACAGCAGGTAGTTTCTATATGCCAGTTGTCTAATTACTATTTTCATTTCAGTCATTCTGTTGCTCTCCACACCAGCATTCTGGTGACCTAATTTACAACTTCATTTAGAAATCTCAAGGTATCTCAATTCAACATGTTCATTTTGAGCAGAGAGACACAGAGAGGGAGAGAAAGTGTGAAAGCAAGCCACCAGGTTCAGGACTTGAACCAGGATTGGCCATGTGGGAATGTCCAGCACCCCAACCATGATGCCACCTGCTGGTCCCCGCAGCATGACTCTTTATTGCAGTAGTCCAGCAAGAAAATGACCCAGTATCTTTGGATATTTGCTCTGGTAATTCTCTCTTAGGCAGGTTGATTCACCCACTATTTTATGTTTTGTCTGTTTTATAGTTCCCACGTACTAGTGGCTTAGTTTATGCATAATTCTGGCTCACCTAATGTCCCTTCAGCACATGGATCCTATGTCTCTACCTGCCTCAAAACTACTTCTCTCATTGCTTACTGGCTTAGTTTTGTAGGATTCCCCAGTTCAGGTCTGTGATACAAAATTTTACTGGTTACATGTATCTTTAATTTGAATCTCCTTCATAAACAATTGGCTGATCTTTGGGTAGATTTTCAATCTTGATCCCTTAAACTGTCTTAGGATAGAAACATTGCCTACCATGAAACTTGGTAACAACCCTGTGTCCTATAAATGGGGCTCTCTCTACTTCTCATTAGACCTTACACAGCAGGTAGTTTCTATATGCCAGTTGTCTAATTACTATTTTCATTTCAGTCATTCTGTTGCTCTCCACACCAGCATTCTGGTGACCTAATTTACAACTTCATTTAGAAATCTCAAGGTATCTCAATTCAACATGTTCATAGCTGAAGTCATTTTTATCCTTAACTTGCTCTTTCAGTGCTTCTGTTTCACTAAAAAGCATGATGAGCTATTAGGTTCCTTAGTTAGCATCTGATTACCTTTTTCTTTCTCATAGCCCCTGGCATTATATGTGTATTGGGAACTCTGAATTAGTTCATCTTCTTAAAGATTATATATGAAACATGTATTTCAGCTTTGGCTTTTGTTAAACTTTTGAGTTCTGGAGAGTGGTCTTATTTGCTGTGAATCTGATGTCCAGTAAGTGGAAGTTTTAATTTTCTGAAGTATAATATAATTGAAATGTATTGATGTTAGTCATGTTTATAATTCTAGGCAGCAAAGGAACAGACTCAAGATTTAATAGTAAAAACGACTAAGCTTCAAGCTGAGAGGTAAGTTTTTCTTTATCTGGTCACTTCTCCATTAATTTGGAGACTAAGTGGAAAGAAAATTATAGATAATTGCAAATCAGATTTGACATAATAAATAACGTGGTTGAAAACTGATACAACACAGGACCCTAGGCTATTATTATTCAATAGTAACATAAGAACAGTAGTTTAGGAGCATCGAATTTGATACTGGTGTTGAGAACTTATTCCCTCTTTGGGAATAGAAGTGGTGATGTATTGTTTATTGCTGTGGACTTGACGTCAAAATGATTGCTCTTTAAATGTACACTGTTTTCAAAATTTCATTATTTACTACTTTTTTTTTTCCACAGTCTTTTATGTTTTCAACTGTGATTAATTCACTGGTGTAATTGTTAACTGTATAAATTCTTCTGGCAGTAATCTATACAAATAGGTATACTAATATTTGTTGATAGAATGAATGAGCAAAGACAAATACAAAATGGATTAGCAATATATTGTATTGAACATGGTTAAGCTAATACTCATGAACAGTGCACTTGTCCTGTCTGAAATAGTGTAGAAAGAGAAAAGTGTTATGCTATGATGCAATATACCTTTCTACTACTTAGTAGCTGAATACATCATTTAAACTTTTTTTTTTTTTGTAGAGGTTTTCACTGTAGGGCGCGTGCGCTCACCATTCAGACAGAGAGAGACATAGAGACAGAAAGCGAGAGATCACCCCCCAGGGGGGATGGTCACGCTGCAATCCCTTCTCCATTCTCCTCTCGGGATCTTGGGCACGCACGCACACGCGCCCAGCGTGAGTTTTAAGCCACCGGGTCCGGGACACGAACCGCGGTCAACTACGTGGGAGTCCAGCAACATAGCCATTACACTAACTGCTGGTTCCCTAAACTTTTAAGTATTCTTAGCACTTCATTGGTCATGTGGAGCTTATGCTGTCATAGGTATTTATTATGAAGTTTAGCTCAATATATTATAGTGAAGCTTATAGGTCATTTTGCTATGGTTCATAGGCCAAATCTAGCTCACCACTTGTTTATGACAATAAAATTACATTGAAATACAGCTGTGCTCATGCATGTACATATTGTCTATGACTGTTTTCACAGAACTGAATGATTACAATGGAGACTATATGTGGCTCACAAAGCCTAGAATATTTACCATCTGTCTTTATAAAAAAAAAACGTTTGTCAGCCGTGATCAAGATAGTGTTTTTCAAAGCTAGTGGAGTTTAGGACCAATGTATCATGAAATTATTTATGTAAATCATGAGTAACCTCTAATGGATTAGGATTGAACAAAATAGAAAATAATTTGAATATAATATTATTTAGTGATGCCTTTGTTTCAGTTTCTAGTAAAGGTTTAAGATATACTTCTTATTATATTAAGTCATCAGAAAAGTCATGACACATTTTTGCATAGAAAAATACGCTGTGACTTTTCTGACGACCCAATAAATCATGGTCAAAAAGAGTTTGAAAAACACTGCTCTACACCAGGAATGGCAAGTACATGGCCAACACTCCTTAGTTCCACATCCATTAGTCTTGGTATTCTTTCATATTTGAGTTTTTAATCCTTCCAAACACAGTTCTCTTAAATTTATATTAAGATATGCTAAATGGGAAATTATAGAGACTATTATAGTTACTTGTGTAAGAGAATATCATGGATCTCAGGGCTAGAAAGGACTCAGGTCGAATGGAGTGATCTCCTTCAGTTAGGATGGTAATCAGAAACTTCCTTTTCTATCTTATAAAAAAAAAGGAATAAAATGCAATGAAATTAATAAAATGAATTATGATATGTACCAAGTTCTTTTTTAAAATGTTCTCTATTTTAATAGCTAAACAATTCTAGCCCCAAACTGGTGATTAATTAGTTAATATTGACCTGCAAGTACCATTCAGAACTTTCCTTAAATCTTTCCAGTTCCCTGAGTTGTATTGTTAGGTTACTTGCCACCTTGCACCTTGAACTTCTCTCTTATGACTGTTTTTGCTCTGTTCCATAGGTTATAAACACTTTTTTTTTCATTATCATTGGTTTCTATGAACCTTTTATTTCATTCTTAATTTCTTCTATAGTTGTAGTCATTTAGAGAAGGCTATTTAGTTTCCAGGTGTTTGTGAATTTTCGAGGGCTCTTTCTATAGTTGATTTCAAGTTTGATTCCATCTTGGTGAAAAAAGATGCTAGATATAGTTTCTGTACACCTTTGGATTTCTAAAGGCTTGTTTTGTGATCAATATCCTTGATGAATACAAATGCAAAAATTCTCAGTAAGATACTAGCAGATTGTATTCAACAACATATTAAAAAGATTATACATCGGGACCAGCAGGTGGCATGGTGGCCGAGCATGGTTCGAGTCCTGGACTTGCTGGCTTGCTTTCTTACTTTCTCTCTTTCTCTCTCTGGTCAAATTAAAATAAATGAATGAATGAATAAAATAAAATAAAAATAATTTAAAAAAATAAAAATAAAAGATTATACATCATGACCAAGTAGGCTTTATTCCAGGGATGCAAGGATAGTTCAACATACACAAAACAAAAAGTGTAATACATCACATTAACAAAGAAAAGATTAAAAAACCATGTGATCATATCAATTGATGCAGAAAAAGCATTTGATAAAATACAACATCCCTTCGTGATTAAGATTCTCAGCAAAATCGACATAAAAGGGACATATTTGCAAGCTATACCTCAGATAAGGGACTGATGACCAAAAAATACGGGGAACTCAAAAAATAAAAAAATCAATCCAATTAAAAGATGGGAAAATGAACTGGAGAGACAGCTGTCTGAAGAAGATGTACAAATGGCCCCAAAACATATGGCAATGTACTTGACATCTCTATCACAAGGGAAATACAAATCAAAGCCACAGTGAAATACCAATTAACCTAGTCAGAACGGCTAAAATTAAAAAAAAAAAATAATAATGGTAAGTGCTGTTGAAACCCGGGTACAAGGGGAACACTCCTACACTGTTGGTGGGACTGTAAATCAGTACAACCACTTGGGAGAATGATACAGAGATTCCTTAGAAACCTATAAATAGAACTACTGTAGACCCAGTATTCCACGCTTAGGTATTTACCCAAAGGATAGAGATTCCTGTACATATTTTCTTGCAACTTGCTTTTTGTTCCTGTAAAATATCTTACAGATCATTTTATGCTAGTAAATATTAGAACTACTTCATTTTTATCAGCTGCGTATCATCCCACACTATATATTTATAATATTTATGTACTATATAATTTACATAATATACAATGATTACTTGAATATATCTCAGACACTCTTGAAGTTGTGATTTATAGGTTTTCCTGTATGCGTTTTAAGTTAATATTTCACATAATTTTTATTTTTTTCTTTTTTTGGAGAGGTTTTTGCTATAGGGTGCATGCGCTCACCAGAAAGACAGAGAGAGAGAGAGAAACAGAAAGCGAGAAATCACCCCCCAGAGGGGATGGCCATGCCATAGTCCCTTCTCCTCCATTCTCCTCTTGGGATCTTGCACACGCACCTGGAGTGAATTTAAACCACCAGGTCCGGGATTTGAACTGTAGTTGACTACATGGGAGTCCAGCAACATAGCCATTAAGCCAACTGCTGGTCCCTATATTTCACATAATTTTTAAAATTTAATTGTTCTGTGAATGAGAAACATAGCAGGGGAAGAGGCAGACAGGCAGCTTTGATAGAGTTCACATGCTACAACCTATCCCCAGCCTCAGCCAGCCCTAGATCATGGGCACATGTGTACCCAGAATGTCCAAGTACGTTTCTATACCCTGAGCCTTCTCATGTAGGCCAGCCTTACAAAGTGTTGCATGTCAGCTAAGCCACTGTCTAGCCCCTTGTTCCATATAATTTTTATTAAGATGTTAAAAATCCCTTGAAATTTTGCTTAGACCAACTAACAATAGCTTTCTGTCAAGGTGTGAAAATTTACCTCGAAAGAATATATATTGCAAGACTAAATAAGACTTGAAAAATATGCTAGAATTTATTCTGTTACTACTTTAAAAGTTGTCATCCTGAAATACCAAGCCCTTATTAGGTGGCCATGTTAAAAATATTTCTGGATCATCTGTTTTGAAGATATAGTGTATGTCTGGTCTGTCTTATCTCAGATTGATTTTTAGATTTAATCAACCATATTACATATTTTGGGAATGAATTTTTTCACCCACGTGACCCTGGACTGTATTTTAATGATTAAAGGGTATTATCAGGGTAAGTAACACTAATTTTGGTTCAAACAAAAATGAAATTGAGATAAATTAAGGAGACTAATTTTCCTTAGTGCCTAATAAATTGGTCCTAAATACAGATCCAATAAAAGCTCTTAAATATTTCAGTTAAAGTAGTTAATTTGTGAGGTCTTGAGAAATTTTACGAAGTTTTATAATTACATCAAATCCATATCATGATTGGAGCTTTATCTAAGAGTATAAAGCAAAATCTGCTTAGGTGACTTTTTGATATTAGCAATAAGGTGATTAATAAAATATGTCATTTAAATTTATGTAGACTTAAATAGGTGATTTACTTTACCATTTTAGATAAACAGAATTATCACTGCCACCCATAGGACTTTTCCATTGTAAATTTCTTTATTATTCATCAGGAACACTTAACTTTATTAATTTAAAACTTCCAACTCAAAGATACAAATAAAACAAAGATGGCAGATACAATGTGCCATCTGTGAATATAGTACTAGTACTTATCTTCGTTCATTTTCACTTGAATATTGTTTGATTTTGGAATATCACTACCCTGTGAATGCTACTAGTGAAACACGTTTATAATTTTATTTGTATGTCTTCTAACCTGAGCTATAGAAACCAGGAATAAACGAGTTTCTTCTGTTCTGGTAGTTTGTGTTTCTAACTTGCCTTTAGATGGTGATTCTGTCAGGTCGCATGGGTCCTTGCAGGTTGCATTCCAAACTATAGTGAGCCTTTTTCTTATAGTTAATAGACCTAGATAGATTTTATTCAGGAAATACAATTTAAAAGACTATTTTTATTAAAATACTATGTAGAAAAAATGGGAAATATGAAAAAAGAGAAATTACCCGTTTTTGAAGAAATGGTAGGGGCTAAGTTGGGGTACACTAACAATGTAACTGTGTCCACATGGGAAAGGCTCTGGGTTTACATACTAGGACGTTCATGAGCATGCAGCTGTGTGCCTGTGATCTGATCCATCTGGGGGTGGATCATGGCCTGAAGATACTCTAGAGAGTACCTCTCTCTCTGTAACAGACCAAATTGGTTGAGAACAGAGCACAGTTCTCTCCTGTAAATCAGCCATGTCAATTTCAAGATGAACAATTCAAGTATTGGCAAGTGGATGAAAATTGTAGTGCAGGGACCATTTGTGAATATATTTATTATTTTGCATAATGATCAAGTTTTCTTACTGTTCGCAAGTTAGCTAACTACCATGTACATACCTGATAAGTCTCCAATATTTTGAGGCAGAAATGAGACTTTAGAAGATATTGAGAAATTTTCACAACTTTGTTTTAAAAATTTATGTTGGAGATATAACTTGTTTTAAAGTTTTCAAATGCATAGCATGCTTGGTTTTATTATTTATATTTATTTTTATTTTTTTAATTAAGTCAGAGATCAGAAATAAGGGCACAAGTTGCAGATGCCTTTTTATCCAAGTTCCAACTGACTTCTGATGAAATGAGTCTTCTCCGCGGTACAAGAGAAGGACCTGTTACTGAGGTATCTGCTTTCCCTTGTAATCATTTAATGTATAGCTGCTATAGATTTTTTTAAATTTAGAATTAAGGTACATATTTTAATTAATGTTTAAGGTTTACCTTTTCAAAGTAATACATGTACTTATTTGTAAAATTCAGAATACAACAAAGCTTATAAAGAAAACCTACATCATCTCTTTTGTCAACAATTTTAATGTTTTTAATTGCTTCATTTTATAATTCTGTAGTTTAGATTTCTAGTTAAAAAGAGTATTCTTTGATTATCTATGTTAACAGTTTTCAATTTATTTTCTATCATGAAATATAAGGACTTGGGGGCCAGCAGATGGCATGGTGGATAAGGCCCTGGGCTCCCACATGGCAACTGCAGTTTGAGTACCAGACCTGGCAGCTTGGAAATCACTCTGGGCACATGTGCATGTGTGCTCAAAGTCCCCAGAAAGGAATGGAGGAGAAGGGATTGTGATGTGACCATCTCCCCCGGGGGCTGATTTTTCACTTTCCCTTTATCTATCTCTTTCCAGAAAGCTCATGCCCCTAGGACAGAAACCTAAAAAAAAAAAAAAGAGAAGAGTTTAGTCCCTTACACTCTCTGCCCCTTTGTCACAACACAAATAGTACACACATGTTCTCTGTAACTCTTTTCATATCTCCCAGTTTCTGTTTTCATTGCAATAACATTACCGTGGAACCAAAAGTTTGAGTGTATGGAAGTGAGTAGATGAGAGAACTTACAGGAACATTACTTTCCATTATACATTGCCCTTGTAATTTGAAAACCTCTGCAAATTAGAAATATTTGACATCTCACTTTTTCTTCATTTGGGAAAAATAGCAAACTATATTAGAGAAAGAGGTTTTTTTTTTGTTTTGTCTCCCCCCCTCCCCCCCAGTTTTAGTCATCAAAGAAATATTAATAGTCATTGTTTTCATGGTTAGAACACTGTTAGTGGCATTCTGGAAACTGAATATATTTTTCTAAAGAGATAAAAAATAAGTCATCGCTTTGGCATAAATCAACTTCTATATATTTAATTAGCACCCTTTATATATCTAAATTTTCATTCTTTTGTATGAAGAGAAGAAAATAGGTATATTGCAGATATATAAAACATCATCTTCAATGATAAGAATGCTATGCATAACTCATGAGATGTGTAATACATAGTGTTTTTCTTTATTTGGTTTTCTTTTGGCTTGTGTTTTTCTCACTATATACTTTTTTTAAAAAATTATTTAATTCCATTTGTTATTATTTAATTCCATTTGTTATTATTATTTTTAATTTGACTAGAGATAGACAGAGAAAGAGAAAGGGAAAAGAAGAAAGCAAGCCACCGGATCTGGGACTCAAATCATGGTCAGCCACATGGGAATCCAGCGCCTTTAACTACCACACCACCTGCCATCCCCTAGACTTTATACTTTTTGAGGACAGTGATTTTCGCTTTTATTAATTTTCTATCCCTGGAAACTACCACACTGGCACATAATTGACATTGGTTTAAATATATGTTAATGTGAATAAATACCGGTTACACCTTCTACAGAAATTAGAGAAGACTGAGATCAGTATAGGAGTGCTTTATTAGAACAGATGAGAGAGTTTGTTTCCTCTTGAAGTGATTTTCCAATTTGGAGTATTGTAATTTTACCTGAAAGTTTGGACTATTTAAAGTCATATTCTTTATTTTAAAGCATTTTTTCAAGGCACTAGGAAGAGTAAAGCAGATTCATAATGATGTCAAAGTCCTCTTACGGACTAACCAACAAACAGCAGGGTGAGTAATGCCTCATTGAACTGATTGCATTAATGCTGATGTTTCTAAAATTTTAGACATAAATTCTGTAATCAAAATAATTAGGTGCTTAGATGTATCTATTGACTGAAAGTTTAAATTATAATATGTTTAAATTATTATTATTATTTTTAGTTTAGAAATTATGGAACAGATGGCATTGCTTCAGGAAACAGCTTATGAAAGACTTTACCGATGGGCTCAAAGTAAGTTATTTCTTTCATGTTGTCTAGATTCATGAATATTAGTATTTCATTTTAAAATTTCACTTGTTCTGCTTTAGTATATTTTGATTTTAATAATCAGAAGTATTTACTAAAAACAAAATTTACATTTGAACATACTGCCTTTATCATGAGCATCTAAAGGAAGTCTTCAGAAAGTTCATGGAAAATGTGTGTTAATGATAAAACTTTGCATGGATTTCAGCATTTTTTTTAAACCAAAATGAACTTATACTTAATTCCATTTTTCTACAAACTTTTCCAAGTCTCCTCGGTTTGTCAGCCAAGGAGGATGCTTGATTAAGGATGTAAGTAAGAGATGAACGTAGTATTTCTGCCCTACATTACCTTAAAGTTGACTAGACATCACCTCTTTATATAACTAAAGTTATAAATTATGAATTAATTTTTTATTGCTACTTTAACAAACTATCACAAATTTATGGCTTCAATCAATACAAATTTACAGATTTATAGTTCTGTAGGTCAGGAATCAGACATGAGTCTCAAACTTGGCAGAGCTACTCCATTTGTTTCTGTAGGCTCTAAGGAGTAATTCATTCCTTACTCATTCCATGTGTTGGCAGAATTCAATTCTTGCATTTGTAGGATTGAGATCTGAGTGTCCATGCTTGCTGTCCCCGAGGACTTTTGCATTTTCAGAGGCTTCCTTTATACTGTGCTTGTGGCACCATTTTCAAAGTCAGCAGTGTCAGATTGAATCACTGTCTTACTTTGAATTTTTCTTGCCTTTTTCTCATCTCATATTTCTGTCCCTTCTGCCAGCTTCTTCCTTTTAAGGCCCATGTGGTTGTCTTGTTACCTTGTACTTACTTGAGTAATCTCAGAAAAATCTCCCTATTTTAAGGCCTTTCACCTTCATTCCATCTGCAAAATCCCTTTTACCTTAAAAAGTAACATTTTTGGGGACTATGTCGCTGGACTCCCATGTAGTCGACCACGGTTCGAGTCCCGAACTTGGTGTTTTAAACTCACACCGGGTGCGTGTGTGTGCGTGTCCAAGATCCTGAGAGAAGGGAGGATAAAGGATTGCGGCGTGGCCATCCCCCTTGGGGGGTGACTTCTCGCTTTCTGTCTCTCTGTCTTTTTCTGTCTTTCTGGCGAGTGCATGCACCCTATAACAAAAACCTCTCAAAAAAACCCAAAAAACAAAAAGTACCATTTTCACAGATTCCAGGGATGAAGTGCCACTACCTAGCCTACCACAAATGCTTTGCTTTAGCTTAAAGTCTTTTGTTGTTGTAGCTGTTTTATTGGTGGTGGTGTTTCTGTTTTTGTTTTTAAACATTTCAGTAGCCTGTTTTCAAAATAGCTGTTAAAAAAACAGAGAATACATGGGACCAGCAGTTAGCGTAATGGCTATGTTGCTGAACTCCCATGTAGCTGACCACGGTTTGAGTCCCGGACCCAGTGGCTTAAACTTATGCCAGGCACGTGTGCGTGTGTGTGCCCAAGATCCCGAGAGGAGAATGGAGGAGAAGGGATTGCGGCGTGGCCATCCCCTCTGGGGGGTGATTTCTCGCTTTCTGTCTCCCTGTCTCTCTCTGTCTTTTTGGCGAGCGCACACGCCCTGTAGCAGAAACCTCTCCCCCCAAACAAAAAAACAGAATACAAAAGTGGTACAGGAGCACGTGTTATTTTAGTTAGGTATTACCAACTTATTTTTGGAGGGAATTGGAATGAAATCCAGTTAACTAGTTCTCCTGTGCCATACTGTGAAAGCTGCATTCTCTTCTCTGGTTTGTATGATTTACTCTGGCTTTATGTCTTTGAACCAAATCCTATTTCAATCCTCAAAGTGGTGCTCAGGTTGTACATATTCCTGGAGCTCTACAGGGCTACAGAAAACCACAGTGACTTCCCATCTCCGAGCACTAATCATTGGAGATACTTAGCATTCTTTAGTACACTTGATTATTTAATTTTTCACACATGTGTATCTTATCTCTCTGGTTGGATTGCTATTTCCTCCAAGGCCAAAGACATTGTTTAAATTTCCTTGTCCCATAATATCTAATGCAGTGGTTCCAAACGGTGGGCCTCTGACTCCTAGGGATGCTGGAGTCATTTTGAGAGCTCTTCAATTCTATACTTGTATACGTTGTTTTCAGTCAGTGCGTGCTAGGACGTAGTTGCTGGAGTGAAGTCTTCAAATACCAGAAGGTTGCAAATTTCTGAACAATTTATAAGTGAACATAGGAGGCACTTACATTACATTTTATGGGAATATTAATTAGAATAATAAAATAAATAAAATATCTTGGTATAGAGATTTTTAAGCATTTAAAAGTCAAAATATTTTGAAATTATAACTTTGTTACATGGTGGTCTATACATGTAAATATGTTCAGCAAACAACTTAAAAGTCGCTTCTCAGAGAAGGGACTGATAATATATTTTTGATATTCTTTCTCTCCTTCCTTATATGCCATGTGTGGTAACTATTCAGTAAATATTTGTTCATTATTGGTTTCTTCAGAGCTGTAGTTTTTTAATAATACTAATAATAAAATATGGGATTTGAATATACCTAACATGGTCATTTAAAGGTTATATAATTTTGCATTTTTAGTTTGGATGACAATATAAATTTTTGATTGGTAAGTGTTCTCTAGGTTTCTCTAAACATTTTTTTCATGGTATTTTGCTGGAATTTAGACTCCTGATGTACAGTAGACATTATAAAGACCTAATTTTAACAAAAGTTATGATAATTATTTTTCAGGTGAATGCAGAGCATTAACACAAGAATCTTGTGACATATCTCCAGTATTAACTCAGGCAATGGAAGCCCTGCAGGATAGACCTATCTTATATAAGTTGGTGACTTTTTCCTAATTAAAAAATAAGTTCTACTTTTTGTTTGATAATTTAATTTTCAGGATTATCAAATTCATAATTTGTGTAATATTTATACTAAGGTACAATGATATCTTTGCCTTATTTGACTATGTATCATCAGAAGATCAGTTTATTTGAATGGTGTAGAAAACAGTATGGAGGGGAAAAACCAAGGTGTCCCTGTGTCTAGACTACCTCTGAAGTAGAGATTAATTAAGTGGCCTTTCCTGTCTATTCTCTCATTAATTCCCTCAGAAACATAAGTAACTAAAACTCCTGTATCAAACCTGCCCTGGAGAGTGGGGGATCATAGAGGAATAAAACTACCAAAGATGAAAACAACTATAGAACTACCAAAAGATGAAAAAAATACTTAAACATTCTATTAATAAGATTCAAGAAAGCCAAGGGTTCAGTTCTTTGATCTTATAAGTTATGTCAACCATGAGCTCTAGTTTACTGCTTTTAGTAAGAAGTCTGCATTTTAAGCTTGTTGATGCATTTCTTAATTATTCCATATTTTAATTTTATTCTTGTATTTTTTCATTAACTAAAAAGTAAAAGCTTTTTCTTTTTTTTAAAGCCTGGAGTGCTGTGAGAATAAACTTTAGGGAGATCAAGGGATTGATGATAATTCAGGAAACAGAAAGCCACAGGGGACTCCTACAGAACCAGTGTATCCTGTTCTGAATCATTTCTTTCTAATACTGCGTATACTTTTCAGCAGATTTCCCTGTTACTTTCTGATTGGAACATTGCTTATCCTATATAAGGTTATAGGACATCAGTGCTAGGACAGCCGTATAAAGTACTAGTAATACCCCAGTGCTGCTTGCAGACTGTGTACATGCACTGTTCTAAGTGTAGGCACAACATAGGTAAAACATTCCAGGTTGAGAAAACATAGATATAAGGATGTGGATTGAGAGGGAACATGCACTTTTGGAAATTATTAATAATTCCAAGAACTTATAAAATGAAAATGGTAATAGTGCCTATCTAAGGGGAGGGATATTATACAGATTAAATTAGATTATTCACAAAAGGTTCTTGCTTAGTGTAATAATTGGCACATCATAAATTTTAGATATTCTTTTCATTTTGAAAAGAAATGACTAGAGAGCGGTTGACTAATGAGGAATATATTTAAGGCCTATATAACGACTGGGAGGAAGCTTGAAAAAAACAGATTGGAGAGGCAAATAGAGAGGCAGAGGTTTACCTCTTAAGCACACATGCCAGGGAGTAAGAGCAATAATGGCAATTTGGAAGATCATAAAAGACATTGGGAAGTTGAATAAGAAAAAAGATTTTTTTAAGAGCAGTTGACTTGGATAAGATGAATGCCAGAGAAGAGAAAATTGAAATTTCATTAAGCAATTATCTATTTTCAAAGTGTTAGTAGATTCCTTAAGTTTTAAGAAAAACTTAATAATTTATCATTTTAACCACAAGATGGCACTATATGAACTTTATTTAAGTAATGTGAAAAAGTTTCACTCAGTCTCAAATGTGTAGGTATCACTCAAAAGAAAAATGTCAGTTATTGAAATCTCAGGGGATAGTTGCCATACTCAGTGTTTCTTAGGTAGTGTATAACTGGAATATTAAAGCATTGTTCACTTTTTCTTTTTACTTTTTTTGGGGGGGAGAGGTTTTTGCTGTAGGGCATGTGCGCTTGCCAGAGAAACAGAGACAGAGAGACACAAAGTAAGAAATCACCCCCCCAGGGGGGATGGTCACGCCGCAACCCCTTCTCCTCCATTCTCCTCTTGGGATCTTGGGCATGCACGCACACACGCCTGGTGTGAGTTTAAGCTGCCAGGTCTGGGACTCAAACCACGGTCAACTACATGAGAGTCAAGCGACATAGCTATTACATCCCACTTTTTAAAAAAAAAAAAAACTATGTATTTATTTTTTCCATGAGTGAGGAAGACGAGAAGAGGAGGAGAGAGAGAAAAAGAGAGCTTACCTAATAGGATCTTGATGTCAGAATCTGTCTCAGCCAGCCTCAGATGACAGGCACACATTCCACTGTATACAGGAAGATCCCAGACTTGAACTGAGGACCTTCCCATGTGGGATTGCCTTCCAGAGCATTGTGTGTTTTTTGTTTTGTGTGTGTGTGTGTGTGTGTGTGTATTTGTTTTTTTTTTGAGTAATTTTTGCCATAGGGCATGTGTGCACTCCAGAGAGACAGCGAGAAATCACCCTGCCAAGGGGATTGGCCATACCACAATCCCTGCTCCGTTCTCCTCTTGGGATTTTGGACATGTATACACACACAGGCAGTGTGACTTTCAGGCTCTCAGGTTTAAGACTTTAACTGCTGTCAGCCATGTGGGAATTCAGCACCTTAACCACTATGCCACCTGCTGGCCCGGCATTGTGTTTTAACACTGCATCACCATCTGGCCCCATTATTAACTTTTAATAAATTAAGTACAACATTAAAAAAAAAAAAAACCAACACTTTACTGTCCATGAAAGTAAAAAAAATTGATGATTTCAGTGCTCAATGAAAGTAAAAAAAATTGATGATTTCAGTGCTGGCTCCATGGTGCAGCCAATCAGGATAAGCCAGACCCTTCTCTGTGACTACTGTTTCAGTCCCCAGTCCAGTCAGCCTGAGGCATGATGGGCATGTGCACAAGTGCCCTAGATTAGATACACTGGAGACCTAGAGAAAGGGGGGAATTGCAGCATGACCAGACCCTGCAGAGCGAGCTTCTCTCTCTCTACCTCTCTCATTTTCACATGCTTGCACGTATGCCCTATCATAAATTTAAAAAGCTTTTAAAAATATTGATGATTTATTTCCTTTGATAAATCTTCAGAATATAATTTTTTAACGTAACTTCATTTAGTGACCTTTTATATGCCCAGCTAGTCATTTTTAAAAACTATTTATTTAATTTTGTTATTATTATTATTTTTTAAACTTGACTAGAGAGACAGAGGGAGAGAGAAAGGGAACCTGAGAAAGTTAGCTGCCCAGTCCAGGACTTAAACCTTGGTCAACCATGTGGGAGTCCAGTTCCTTAATCATCACACCACCTACCGACCCCTTCAGAATATAAATTATTAAAGAACATAATAATATGTAAAGTGCTGATTTTTTTTTTATTCTTTATGTGTTTGTTGCATTCTGTAAAGGAGCTTTTATACCATTCTTTTCTCAATTTGCTTTTTAATCACAATTTTTCATGTTAACTCTAGCTAAATTGTACAAAGTATGACTTTTCATTTTAGTTAGGGGCATTTTAGAATATTTACATATTTACATATTTGGAACATTTACCCTTCGTTTTGAGCTTTTGACCTTTGTTAAAAAAGAGTCTGATTTTGTTCAAATAAAGTTTCTTAGTTTCCTGGGAAGAGTATTTCATGTATACAGATATCATTGGAGATTTGTTGTGACTCCTTGCAGTTTTTCCTTCAAATTATATTTTGTGTCATAGGAAGATTAACATTAATATTAATGTATATTTCATGTTCTTGTTCAGACTACAGTCCATTGTTTACCAGACCTGGTGATTTTCCTTCCCATTTAAAACACCAGGGAATGCAGTGTTTTGTTGTATCTGTGGTCCAGGGACCATTCTCAAAAACAGAAATTATGTAGTTTATGTTTATTATAATCAATAGAGTCTTGGAAGTGAGGATATTTTTTTATATAGTATTTTGAAAATTAAGTTTGTGAATTTTGTGCTGAGAAGCCATCTGATTATTATTATTTCATAGATTTGGGTGATCATTTTCAACAAGGCCTTCACACTAAGTATATTTATAATTTAAGACCATGAGGGAAAAAATACAAGTGAGCATTTTGGTTCTAATTTGTTTTAAAAAGTAACAAGTAATGGGGCCTGCAGGTGGCATGGTGGTTAAGGGTGCTGGACTTCCACATAGCTGACCGTCCCGTACCTGGTGGCTTGCTTTCTTACTTTCCGTCTCTCTCACTCGTCCCTCTATGGTCAATTAAAATAAATAAATTAAAAAATAAATAAAGTTAAATAAAGTAATTCTTTAAAAATAGCAAGTAAAGAAATTATGCAGTTTATAAAAACTTGGCTTGATATTGTGCTTTCTCTTTCCTACACTAGTATGTTACTGCAGGGAATTTCAGAACCATTTTCGTTTTACTGAAAATAAACATGAACACACACAGAACCACAGTCTGGTTAATAGTGAATCAACCACACAAAAAAATCCAGATTCCTAAAATTGTAACTATTTATTTTCCTTCACTTCCTTTTGTGTTTAGGAACAATCCCTTCTCCAACATTCTTTCATTTCACAAAGTGGATTTTTTTAAATTAAGCAACTGTAACAGCGTATTAAAGAAAGCAATACGGCCTAAGAAATTCTTCTAAAAATCTTTGGAAAATTTCTGCAACTTTCATTATACATAGGTTAATGAAGTAATTTTTAATAGTGTGTGGTATAGTACTATCTAGGGATTTAGTAATTAATGAATTAGGCCAGTCCATGGTATGGTAGTTAAGGCAGTTGGATCAAACATGGCTGACTACACATTTTGTGTCCCAGACTTGGTGACTTGAGAAACATACCAGGTGCATGTGCATATGTAATCAAAGACCCCGTAAGGGGTCATGTGCCCTGCATGCATTTTAAGCCACCTGGGCTGGAATTTTAATCATGGTGGGCAGTGTGGGATCTAGATCCATATGCACAGCACTTTACTCCTATTCTACTGGGCCGGCCTACAAAGAACATTTAATAGGGAGATGGGTGTAAGGAATGGTAGTCATAATGGGAAACAAAGACTGAATCTAGTCAAAGAAATGGATACCTTTGGCAATTCCAGACCCATCTTGATATATTACACCCCAGATTGTCCTATCCTTCCCGTCAAAGCTTTCGTTCCCTGCCATGTCCCTCACCTTAGGAAGTTTTTTCTTTTTCTTTTCTCTTTCGACTGCAATAGGTGACTTCTAAATATGAGGGGATTTCAGAAAGTTAATGAACAAATGAAATTAAAGTCTGAGTTTATTTTAGTGTAAAAACATTTTAAAACCTATGCACAGTTCTTTTTTTAATATGCAGTTTTCATGATCTTTTTGAAGCCTTGCCCTTTCCTGTATATTTAAAAGAAAAAAGTATTTGCTATGTATGCATGATTGGTCAGCAAATTTAAGGAATATTGAATATATCTAATATTAGAATCAAAATAAGCTTTTGAAAATGAGTAGCAGTATTTAGACAAATTTTGGTGGTAAATTGTGAGGATATGTGAAAGAGAACTTTTTTAATGTAGGAGAAAATGTCAGTATTTGGATTCAGAGTTCTAATTATAACTAGCCTCTGAGGGGTATGTATTATGGCCTCATGTAAAGCAGTAGAGTATCATGTTTTGGACTTTGAGGAACTGAAACCTGAGGCATTCAGTAGTTCTAACTGGCTTTTTTTTTTTTTTTTTTTTTAAACTTTTGCTAATTCACTGCCCTTGCTGTCAGTGCGACTGTTTTAGTCCCAAATCCCTTCATTCTTTCTTAAGAGGTGTAAAAATTGCTACCTTTAGATTGAATTTCCAGGATGCTCAGGTTAGCTCATAATTTCTTTATTTTTTTAAAAATTTTTTGTTTTTAGAATTATTTTATTTAACTTTATTTAGTTTTAAAATTTGATCAGAGAGGGACAGAGCAAGAGAGTAAGAATGAGAGAGAGAGAAGAGAAAGAGAGAAAGAAGGAGAGAGAGAGAGAGAGAGAGAGAGAGAGAGAGATGGAAAGTGAGAAAGCAAGCCACCAGGTCCACGACTTGAGTGGCTTTTGGCCATGTGGGAGTCCAGCGTCCTTAACCACCATGTCACCTGCTGGTCCCATAATTTCTTTTTTTTTTATCATTTAAAAGTGTGTCTAAGGAAGCTTTAGATGTCTTTCTTAACATCAGAAATCATGAATAGGCCAACATAATTATTAGGGGAAAAAAGTTTTTTGTATGTCTTGTTTTTTCCAGGTACACCTTAGATGAATTTGGAACAGCCAGAAGAAGTACAGTTGTTCGTGGATTTATTGATGCCCTTACAAGAGGTGGCCCAGGAGGCACACCTAGACCCATTGAAATGCATTCCCATGACCCTTTGAGGTATAGTAGTCAGTCAGCAGTAGAGGATTTGATGGGGATTTTGTTGAAGGAAATTTTTGCTAACATTTGGTTTTTGTTAGGTATGTGGGAGATATGTTGGCTTGGCTCCATCAAGCTACTGCTTCTGAAAAGGAACATCTTGAAGCCCTCTTAAAGCATGTGACTATGCAAGGTGGGTCCTCAAGTTGTTTTGGGGAATACCTAAATATAGAACATAACACAGGCCTCTGTTTCTATTTTCATTTCTGTCTTCTTCACTGAGATAAACGTTTCACCTAGATAGTACAGTAAACGCCCTACTTCATCGTCCTTTCTCTAGGTACCCACTTAGGCTGCTAACAGACTTTCTGCTCCATTACTTTCATCCTGTCACTCAACTGTTGACAGTTTTATAGAGGATACTTTTATTTTCCATAACAAGCCTACACTCCTCTGCTTCACTTTTGAGAAATGACTGGAGCATCTAGCATATCTCAGATCCTCAGTCTGACACTTTAAAGACAGAGGGTGGTATTTATCTAAGTTTTATCTGAGAAAACAGGCTGAATGACTTGCTTAAGGTCATTAAGCTACTGATTATTTCAATTCTATTACCCCAACCTTCTTTCTCATTTTCATGGGACTATTTTAAAGCTTTTATTTTAAAAATAATTATGACGTGTATAAAGTGTGCTTAAAATTTTTTGTCTTGAATTCAAGGAAGAAAGTTACTATTGCTGAGAATTGCTGCTGTTTAATTTCAAATCTTAGTTTTAACTACTTTAAAATACTTCTTTTAGAGTTTGAGTATTTAGTGCATAATTAAAAGATGTTCTTTTTTGATAGAAAATGAGGAGAAATACTGTGACCTGGTGTTACTTGACTATTTTGCATAGCTTGGTCACATATCACTGTGGTTCATCACATGGTCTACAGGAGAGGCTGGTGTACAAATTGGTGATGATAATATTTGGGATTGGGAGGGTAAGAAAGCACCACCCTCCCCATTCCTTCTCCTGCATTCTCCTCTCAGGATTTTTCATAGTTGTTAACTCTTTAATATTCAGATCAGAGTCAAAAAATATGTTAGACTGGCACAAAGTACATTTGTTAAAGTTTTTTTTCTGTTATTATTCTAATTACCCAGATTAAAAGAATGTATTTTTCAAAGAGGTTTTAGAAAAGCATATATGAGAGTCAGTGTTAAGGGTTAGGAATGAAATAGATTGGAGTTGGATGAAATAGGTTGTTCTGTGAGAATGACTTAAATCTTCTGAGCCTCATTTTCTTCATCCATAAAAGTGAAGGTGGTTATAAGCAGTAAATGTCAAGTACTCATTACAGTGCTTGATAAATAGTCAACATTTAGAGAATATCATTTTTCTAGTAGATTACAAGATGAGTTTTTCAACTTTATGCCCTCAGCTTATCAGCTCAGTTCAACTGTCTGAAAGAAGGTGTTCATAAAACAAATGCTAATACATCTTCATATTACCTCCATACGTGTTTTTCATAGCCTTTTATCCTTTGTCTCATGCGCTTATTCTTTTTCACAAAGAAATATATTTATTTTATTTATTTTGAGAGATTTTTGCTACAGGTCACGTGTTCCCATTAGAGAGACAGGAAATGAAAAATCACCCCACAGGGAAGATGGCCATCCTACAGTCCCTTCTCCTCCATTCTCCTCTTGGGATTTTGGGTACACATGCACCTACACCCAGTGTGAGTTTCAAGCTGCTGGGTCTGTGACGCAAACTGCAGTCGATCATGTGGGAGTCAACACCTTAACCATCATGCCATCTGTTGGCCCCAGAAATATGTGTATTTTATTCAGCAGTTAAATGAACTAACAAGGTTGTCTAGAAACACACTAGTTATTAACATATTAGTAATGTCCCAAAAGGTACCATATTTGGTAAAATATTTTTCTATTATCTGAAATTTTATTAGAGGCTTTAATTATATGTATTATTATTTGTTGATTTTTTGAGCTTATGTGAAACATGGAAAATAATTTAATTATATTAGGTGTTGAAGAAAATATTCAAGAAGTTGTTGGGCATATCACCGAAGGAGTATGCAGGCCTCTGAAGGTAAAATATTTTGTTTTTATGTGTGTTAGACGGTATATGGCTTGATTATCATCATATCCTTATGAGTTTAAAGAAACTTATTGCTTGACTTCAAACAGTATTTTGTCAAATTAACACATTAATGTAGGCTAATTAAATACATTTTAAAATAAACATTTCCAGTTTTCTTTGAAAAAAAGTTAAAAATATCCTTCATTTGCATATATTGCCTTATTTGTTACAGATTATATTTCCCATAATTGATTTTTTTTCAGTACCCAAAGTGTTTTTATTGCTATATTAGCAATGGACTTTTTTTGGGTATGTTTTTAAGAGCTAGAAATAGATTTAAGGAACAGATAAAATTGATGTACTAAATTAAAATGTTTGGTTTAAAAAATTGGGAACCAGCAGTTAGTGTAATGGCTATGTCGCTGGACTCCCACATAGTCGACCGTGGTTCACGTCCCGGACCCGGTGGCTTAAAGCTCACGCCGGGCGTGTGTGCGTGCGTGCCCAAGATCCCGAGAGGAGAATGGAGGAGAAGGGATTGTGGTGTGACCATCCCCCCTGGGGGGGGTGATTTTTCGCTTTCTGTCTCTATGTCTCTCTCTGTCTGTCTGGCGAGTGCATGCGCCCTATAGCAAAAACCTCTCAAAAAAAAAAATTTATACAACAGATTTTTTGTTTATGAGCTATATATAACCTTCCATGAAAATATCATAAAGTATTTTCAACACTATATTAAATGTATTCCCCAAGAGGAAAAAAATTTAAAATGTCTAAAATATATTATTGATAGATTTAGACCATCATAGATCTTTTGAACATGCATCTGTTTATAGTATTAACAGTACACAAAATGTTTATCATTTGGATTTTTTTCTCTTTTGAAAATAACTGACCTTCTTAAACTATGGTAGCAGTCTATGAAACTAGGTATATTTACAAAGATAGATGACATGGAAAATAGAGCTGAATTCTGCCTTATATGATACAGTCACTGTGTCTACAGATTGCTAACATTTACTTGGGAACATAGGTCCACCCTTAGCAGCACTCTGTGATGTTAAGGTAAAGGTGGCTTGTCATTATCTCTTTCAGCCTTCATTTCTTCTCTTGTCCCCTTCTGTATAAGCACGAATACTCATTCTCCTCTTGTCGTCTTGCCCTTCCTTCTGCTCTAGTACTCTCTGACCTTGGAGAGAGCCAGGGTTCTGTTATCTCTTTTTTAGCTACTTTGCTGGCAGATGGCCTGAAGCCCATTTTTCATATCCGCCTTTATCATCTGTGCCACTTCTTACAATACAGTTAAAATTTATTAAGCGCTTACTGTGTGTCAGGGACTGTTCCACTGGTCTTCTATCTGAGCCCTTGTTCTCATTACTGTTCTCTAGCTCTACTAATGATTCTTTTCCTCCACTGTTTACACCATTAGGAACTTGCCCCTGCCACCCACTTCTTTAGTATCTTTTACCCTGTTTACTTATTTTTGTTTCTCTTGTCTCTTGTTTTTACTGTGACCACTGACTTTTGCAGAACATGATTGGCCTCTCATACAGTCCTCATTAAGACAGAATGTTTCTTTTTCTGTGGCAAACAAACCAAACTTGGAGTACCATTTGTAACTCTGATTGTTTTAGTCTTTCTGTTATATTCTATGTTGTAGCTGAAAGGGTGAACTTTCCCTCTAAATCGTCCTATGTGTGGTGAGAGATAGTTGTTGTTTTCTTAGTTCTTTTATTTTCCTTTTTTCCCTCTTTTCTTTTCCGTTTTTACCTCTCTCACCTCCTTCCTTACATTCTCCTTTAAGAGAATTGGAATAAAGAGTATTTTCTCAATGCCTCCAAATTCTAGAAGTCAGGTTGCCAGATAGCTGACATGGTGTTATTGATCTGCCAGACAAGTCTGTCTGCAATGAACATCACTTACATTTTTCTTTGTTATTGGTTTGTCATGATGTATTTTTGCATAGAAAAACACGTCATGACTTCTTGATGATCTAATAATTATATCCAGAAAGTATCACTTTTAGGGGACCGGCAAGTGGCATGGTGGTTAAGGCGCTGGACACTCCCACATGGCCGACCATGGTTTGAGTCCTGGACCTGGTGGCTTGCTTTCTCACTTTCTCCTCTCTCTCTCTCTCTCTCTCTCTCTCTCTCTCTCTCTCTTTGTGTGTGTGTGTGTGTGTGTGTGTCTCTGGTCAAATTAAAATGAATGAATGAATAAATGAAACTGAATAAAATAATTTAAAAAATTAAACTGAATGTTAAAAAAAAAGTCTCATTTTTATTGGTAGAACATATTGTTTAAATAACTGCTGAGCCTAAGTCTGAAAATGTCATTTTAATTAAACATTTTTTAAAATTTTAAATTAATTTTAAAAATTTAATACCTACTTATGATCATGGTATGACAGTATTTAGCTAGTCTTTTGCATTATATCAAAAGAAAAAAATCAGTTTCATAAACATATTAATGTAAAGGTAAATTGATTTCTACAGTCCAAGATGTTTCTGTATGATGATATACATTCATTTATAAAATCTCATTTTAGCAAATCACATTTGTTGGCATTATGACATATGGCAAAATCTAAGAACAGAGAAATTTCAACTTTCAAAGGCATTTATTAAACACCTGTTCTATGTATACTGTTCTATACTGCAGAAATGTAAAAGAAGCAGAAAATACAATGTCTATTTTTGTGTTTAGAAACTAAGAAGGAAAATACAATGTAAGTAGCAACTTAAAGGCAGATTTAATGCAGTATGTAAATAAGCATGTATCAGTGTGGTTTAGGTAGTATTTATTAATGAAGGAATTAAGAGTAAGAGGAAATTGAGTGAGGGATGGAATTTTATTTTTTTAAAGAATTATTTATTTTATTTTATTTATTATTATTATTATTATTCAATTTGACCAGAAAGAGAGAGAGAGATGGAGAGTGAGAAAGCCCAGGAATGAAACCAGGCCCAGGAATGAAACCATGGTTGGCTATGTGGGAGTCCAGCACCTTAACCACCTTGTCACCTACTGGCCCTTTTTTTGGGGCGGTGGGGGGAGACAATGGGATGGAATTTATTATTTAGAAAAGATTTGTGTTACCTAATCCTAAAGTGGATCAGGTTAATCCTGAACTAGATCTGATTTTGGGTAGTAGTTGCAAATATGTTAGTGCTATTTTAAGAGTTCTCTACTTTCCTATTCACTAATTAATAGAAAAAGTTGTAGTTTAAAGACAAGAATTCTATCATTTTTTCCTGAATATTTGGTAATAGACTGATGTATTTTCACTGATAATGTATTTTTAGGAATGTAGCAGCTGTTTTGTGATTTAGTATTGAAATAAATTCCATTATATATTGATGATAAGCCTCCAAGTGATCTCATTGTATTGTTATTTCTGTTAACAACTACCTTGAACCAAATTTTGCAGGTAATGGGTCATTTTTTTGTGTTAAAATGTTTATTTTACCATCTCCTATGACTTAATACTCAGAAATTTCTTATTTAGAGGTATTTTGTCTTCTCTACAATAAAATTTTACCTATAATTTTTATGCCATTTATACCATGTCATGCATAAAGGTATACTTTTAAGAAATGTTTAATTTCTGGGACCAGCAGTTGGCGTAATGGCTATGTCGCTGGACTCCCACGTAGTCGACTGCGGTTCACGTCCCAGACCTGGTAGCTTAAAACTCACGCTGGGCGCATGTGCGTGTGTGCCCAAGATCCCGAGAGGAGAATGGAGGAGAAGGGATTGCGGCATGACCATCCCCCCTGGGGGGGGATTTCTCACTTTCTGTCTCTCTGTCTCTTTCTGTCTGTCTGGCATGCGCACGTGCCCTATAGCGAAAACCTCTCCAAAAAAAAAGAAATGTTTAATTTCTTCTCACGTATTTTAATAGGTTCGGATCGAACAAGTAATAGTTGCTGAACCTGGGGCAGTTTTACTTTATAAAATTTCTAATCTCCTCAAATTTTATCACCATACAATCAGGTAAGTGGAATGGTGAAATGTGCTTGTTAGGTTCCAGGTGATGTTTCTTTTCGGTTATAGTCGTGTGTAAAATGTTTTTGTTTGTTTTCACCATGTATATGACTTAGTGTAAATAGTAGAACATCCATACCATGTGAATTATTATATACATTTTATGCATACTATACCTTGAAGCCCTGTCATTTCTTTTTTTTCTCTAAGTATAGCTACATACACACACACATACACACACACACACACACCCCTTATATTCAGATATAAGTTATTGTAAAGTATTTATTAAGTCTTCCTGCATTAGTAAAAGAGATCTGTGTCAACTAGAGCAACCATATAATAAACTCAGAATAGGGCATAATGAGTGAAATGTCCTATTCTGGATGTAAGTAACCTAAAGTCTTCTTTATCATTTAGTTTCCTTTTTAGTCATAAAAAGAAGCCATAACTTTATCTTCTCTATATAAAACCAACTTTATCTGATTAGGAAGTACTTATCTAAAATGTGATCTCTGACTTGAAAGTTTGCATTCATTTTTGTTTTGCATGTTAGTTAATATACACTTAATTTTTGTTGTAACTGTCATGATAAGATCATGTTAAATGTGTTGTTGGATTAAAACAATGTCCTTCTAAACAATATTTTTTATAGTTTCTATATTTTTCCATTAAAATTTACAAATTTTCCAGTATGGCAGTATCAGAAATTGAAAGCTAACTGTTAAAATCCGAGAGTTATAACTAATAGATCTGGGAGACTTTCAAGGATCAGTAGTTTACAGATCAGTAACTTTATGTGCTACAATAAACTTTATATGCTGCAAAATTGAGAAAGGATTTGTGTTGGTCCTCTCTACATTTTAGATATAAATTTATTATCTTTCTCCATGACCAAAAAGCAGTAAATTAGTTGCAATTTTAATGATACAGGCTTCCTAAAATAAGAGAATGATAAATATTTAGAAAACACAAAGGCAACTAAAAGCAGCTAAGCATATCGAATGATGTGTTAGAAAAGATGGTGGTAAAATAATTTTTAAAATAGTTTATTTAGTAATATTCATGATGGTACTACATTTAAAGATATTGATAGTTCAGTTTGTCATACAGAAGATGCTAGAAATAAAATCAAGTGGATTCTGATGATAAAGATTCTTAGGTTCAGAACTATAATTTTTCTCTGCAGAGAATATCGAACATGACAGTAAGAATCTTTTACATGTACTTTTTCTACATATTCACACATTTCTTCATTTAGTCTATTGAAAAGTTGACTATAGACTTGTCACTCTTGTGTGCTAAGGAAACATCAATGAATAATACAGAGCTTGAAGCTACATAAAGGAGACAATTAGACATGTATAAAATAATAATTTCTAGATAGCAGTAATGGAACTGAAGAGAATTAAAGTAGGAGAAAATAAATAGAAAGTATAGGGAATGACCATGTAGGTATAGGTAGGGCATGTGTCAGTGTGTGTGTGTGTGTGTCAGTGTGTGTGTGTGTGTCAGTGTGTGTGTGTGTGTCAGTGTGTGTGTGTGTGTCAGTGTGTGTGTGTGTGTCAGTGTGTGTGTGTGTGTCAGTGTGTGTGTGTGTGTCAGTGTGTGTGTGTGTGTCAGTGTGTGTGTGTGTGTCAGTGTGTGTGTGTGTGTCAGTGTGTGTGTGTGTGTCAGTGTGTGTGTGTGTGTCAGTGTGTGTGTGTGTGTCAGTGTGTGTGTGTGTGTCAGTGTGTGTGTGTGTGTCAGTGTGTGTGTGTGTGTCAGTGTGTGTGTATGTGTATGTGTCTGTGTGTGACTCTTTTAGAAAGCCTTTCAGTGCAGATGATGTTTGAACAGAAACCTACATAATCTGAGGGAGTTGGGCATAAAATGCTCTTAGAGAAGATTGTCCTAGGCAGAATACTCTAGTCCTGAAGCTAAGAAAAGCTTGTAATTTAGAGAATCAGAAGGAGGACCAGTGGTTAGAGGGTAGTAAATTGAAAGAAGTAGGAGGACATGAAATCAGAAAGGTAAAGAGAGGTCGTATCATATATGACTCTGTAGGCCATGGTAAAGATTTTATTCTGTCCTGGTAGGCTGAGGAACTTGAACTGATTTATGGTGTAAGGTTACTTAGAGTACTCTGTAGATGATGCATTTAGTGGGGTGAAAGGAGAAATAAGAAGGGTATTTAGGAAGCAGTTTGTGGTTCTGAGGTGAGAATGGTGGGTTAGACTAGGGCGATAGTCTTGGAGGTGTTGTAAAGTAATTGATTCCAGAGATGCTTTATGTTATGTCCAATGGGACATGTATATAGAGTACTTGGAATGAGATGTAAAGAGTCAAACGTGAAATCTTGCTTTTTTACTGCAACGGCTGTGTGGATGGTATTGCTGTTTGCTGAGATGGGGAATCCTGGATACAGGATTGATGGGGATGGGTGAGTAGGAAGGAGTTCAGTGCAGTTTTAGCCATGTCAGACTTGATGTACCTGTGGACACACTGTAGGAAATGTTGAGTAAGCAGATAAACTAGAGAAATTAGAGCTGAAACTATAAATGTAGTTTTCATCCCATAGATGATATGTGTTAAAGGCATGGAAGTAGGTAAGATCAATTGAATGAGTGTCATAATAGGGCCTGTGACAGAGTCCTGGGGAGCTCCAATATTTATAGGTCAAGAACAGGAGAGTGCTAGCTGTGGTGGTTCAGTAGTAAAGCATTGTGGCATGGTGCTGAAACCACATGAGAAGGGCCTGGGTTCATATTCTGGGGACTTCCAGTACATGCTGTCTGTGTGTGCCCGTGATCCTTGTTGACAGGCTAGGGTGGATTTTGCAGCATAAAGACCTTGTTGGGGACTCCTATTCTCCCTCTTCCTTCCTTTCCCATTTCTCCTTGTTCCCTCTCTCTCACTTTCTCTCTCAGAAGAAATAAATATTAAAAAAAAAAAAGGAAGAGAAACCCACAACAAAAACTAGGAAGGAATACCCAGTGAGATTGGAAGAAAATTTTTAGCTCGTGTACATTAAAACTCTCATAAAAAGAAAGAAAGCTTTGAAATCAGAGAATCTAGCGTACTTGAATTGCATAACCTTTCCTGTAACACTTTTCTCCTTAGTGTTAAGAATCGCCTTGCTTTTTGTAGTTACTTGTTTTCCTATGCCTTTCTCGCTATTTCAGATCCAAATGATTAAATGGACTTGACACTTACCATATAGTCTTAGACATCAAGTAGCCCCTCTGTCCTCCTTCCCAGTACCTTCATAGAATCCTCATTCTCCTCCAGTCTAGACAAGTTACTCTGCAGCCTGTTGTGTGGCTGTCACACCAGCCTGCT